AATTTTTCTCTCTCTTAGCATCTGTGCAAGTGGGTATAGTGAACGGCACAGAAGCCAAACCTCATTCAAGACCCTACATGGTTTCGATTCAAAGAAATAAAAAACACATATGTGGTGGCTTCCTTGTGTCTGAACAGTTTGTCATGACAGCTGCGCACTGCTTCCAAAAGTAAGTTTTTTTTTTTGGTCAGTTACAATTTCACTGAGAGTCCCATACTGCTGCAAAAAGTCCTCACTTGGTGTGACTTCTTTGGAAATGATATAATAGTATAATAGTACCCAACCAAATGGGTCCACGACTCCTACAGTCTCAAAAATAAAGATTCTTAATTGGCATTGATGGGTGTATGAAGAACCTTTATCATCCATGGAACATTTCCATTGCACAAAAGGGTTCTTCAGATTATTAAAATGGTCTTCACACTATGAAAAATGGCTCTTTTAAGAAGTGTTAACTGAAAGGTTCTTTGGGGAACTAAAAATGGCTCTTCAGGGGCATCACTTTTGGAATGTAGTGTAGGAAGGCCAATATTGTTTTTACTTAAAGCAAAGTTTGTTTTCTTCTTCTTCATCTTCACAGTGGAGAGAAGCTGGCAGTTGTGGTTGGAGCTCATGATTACACTCATGGCTCTGGTCGCATGGATGTGAAATTTTACCACATCCACCCTGGGTATGAGCCTAAAAGTCTGCTAAATGACATCATGCTACTTCAGGTAAATGACTCAGCTAGGTTTTGCAGAGAAAACTGCAATAAAGCAATGGTGTTTTAATTCTACGCTAAACAAAATTGAGGAAAAGAAAAGTGAATGTCCTACACTCCCTTAGGCCTTGTTCACATTGCACACAAATCTGATTTGGTTTCAAATCTGATATTAAGGACTGACTAGTGAGTTCATTTTTCAAATCATTAAATACTTTAATTCATACATTGTTTCCCATACTAACAAAGTGATAAAAAGCTACCAGAAACCTGATTGTTCAGACTGAGACACACTGTCAGTGTGAATTTGAATTGGATTTCACACCACATTTGGATGTGACTTGGATTGGGATTGGGAGATATGCGACAAAATAAGATTTTTGTATCAACAAAGCCTTAGAGATCTGATGCTATATGCTGTAAACCGAACAATATTTACAATATTTCATGACTATTAATAATTTTGTACTGTTTTCACGTTTCAATTGTTTTAAAGCATATATGTAACAATTGTAAAAAATAGTAACATACCTAGTAATCCAATTATCCTTATAAGTAAACAAAATGTAAATGCAAAAAAGTTGGTCATCCAATTTGTATACATTTTTGAAAATGATCCGCATTAATGGTTTAATTACTTGCTGTAGCTATATGGAAAAGTCAAAAAGAGCAAGAACGTCAACTGGATCTCCATACCAAAGAAAGATAAGGACATCAAGGCCAAGGTCAAATGCAGTGTTGCAGGATGGGGGAAGAAAAACAACAGTGATACACCAAGTGCTAAGCTTATGGAGGTGGACGTCACTATCATTGACCAAAAAAAATGTCAGAAGTACTGGGAAAAATATTACTCCACCTCACGTATGGTGTGTGCAGGTGGTCGTGGAGGATTTTGCCAGGTACAAATCATATTCTGGACAAATCATAAATAGTGTGACAGTTCAATTTTATTCACACCCTGCACTTTAATGACTTTTCTCAGGGGGATTCTGGAGGACCTTTGGTGTGCAATAATGTCGCAGTCGGTGTCGTTTCATTCTATGAGAAAAACAACTGTGACTCACCTAATCGACCGAATGTCTACACCAAGATTTCCAAATTTCTAAAATGGATAAATGCTATTCTTGAAGGTGTGAAGTAAGAACCTGATCAATAAACTTCAACAATGCGGTCTGCTCATGTGTGTGAATGTTTCGAGCTCATTTCATAGTGAATTAACTGAATAAATCTTGATTGATGTGACAAGCTCCAAAAGCTTTTCTGTGGAAAGATGGTGTTAACCGTTCTCAGCAGGCCTGGTTTCCTGTGGGGGCTGAGCTCATTGCATGTGGTCAGACACCCTGTGAGAAAATCTAGTTTGCAGACACATCTTAAAAATAAATTTTGATGCAAAGTCGTGAGACTCACCATAGATTTAAAAATGAAGCAAGTTGTGAGTTAACAATCCTAAGAGAATATGCATAAAATATGAAGTCTGTAAAAACTAATTGAAAAAAAAACAAAAAAAAACTTTTCCCAAAACATTGTTCTCATATGCTATTGGCCTGGCAGCTCTGCCCAAACTAACACCATTGATTGACTATGATTATGACTTATGACTATGACATATGACATATGACATCTGACTATGACTGACTGTTGCTACGCTAGGCTGGTCTGGGTTTTCAAGCAAGTGAGCAATGTTTTTTACAAAAAGAACCACAGTGTTTGTACCTATCAGGAAAATCCACCTAAAAATGTACCATTCATAGAGTTTAATGGAAAATTCACCCAAAAATAAATGTCATCATTGACCCTTATGACTTTATTTTTCTGTGGAAATTGTCTATACGATGGACACTGTCAGTGGGGTCCAGTGTTGATTTTGGACGGCATTGACTTTCATTGTATGGAAAAACAGTTTTCAATAGATCTTATTTTGTGTTCCACAGAAGAAATAAATACAGGTTTAGAATGGCATGAGTGTGAGTAAATTATGACAATTTTCATTTTTGGGTGAATTATGAGGAATCTTTGTTTTAACCTAATTTTCAGACGTTACATTTAATTAACAGAAGAAACATCCAGGAAATGCTGTGGTTTGCTGTGTAAAGGGAGGCTTGCCCTTTTACATTGAGTAGTTTAAAAGTCAGTGACACATTTTCAATGTTCCACAAGCACAATGACTGGCTTCACTGCGACAGCTGTGACCACACTGCACATCACAGGTTGCTTCTTTCATTAGTAATTCTTAACCTTTATACATTGCATAGTCATTTCTGTCTTTTTCTCAATAGTTATGGTTGGAGATGACAATCAATGGGAAAAAAAGCTTCAAAAAAGTCCTTGCAAAACATGGTCTCAGTGCAGAACAATAAAAAACATGAATGTGGAGGATTTCTGATATATCCTCAATATGTGCTCACAGCTGCACACTGTGCACGGTAAGTTGTTCATTTTTGAAGCCATATTCATCACTAAATTAAATATCTAATCTAATTGGAATGAGTAAACTATGATTGGTGATTGAACAATTCATGAAAATGTGAATTTGACTCCCTCCACTTTATTACATACCAATGAAGAGATAACTGTCGTTCTTGGCGATCATAATATTTCTCCACAGAAAAATCTATAAAGATTGAATGTGGTTCGCAAATTTATACCAAAAACATTAAAAAACTTTAAGATGGGTAATGGCATCATGCTTCTAAAGGTAAAGAAACACCGGTTGGGTTATGATGAAATTTTCACAAGACGACGTGCACATTTAATAACTAAGTATTTGCAATATCAGATTTCCAGGAAAGCAGTTTTGGGAGGAAAGATGGTGAAAATCCCACATCAACATTACAGTGTTAAAAACAATACCCAGAGCTCGGTTGCTGGATGGGGTTCCACTAAAAAGCATAAAGAAGTTAATGACCTTTTGGCCTTGAACGTATCAACTGTTGACATTCGCGACTGCAAAGAAGCATGGAAGAAATACAAAGAAAGCATCACACAACTTCCACCAAACATCATCCGTGCTGGAGGATATAAACAGAACGGAGGAGTGTGCTCGGTAAGAAATATACAAGAGAGACTGGGGCAAGTTGTCACAATGTCTTAAGTGTATAAACTATAAGGTTTTGAGACGATTAGGAAAGATAAAAAGTGTGACAACTAGCCACAGCCTCATCTTCATATAAACACAAATGTATTGTAGTTTTTTTTTTTTTTTT